GCACCTTACAGAAAGACTAGGCCAGGCTGGCCACAGAGGTCGAAAGTGGAGTGGGGAGAACAGATTCTTGAGAAGATAGTCAGGTCATGGGTCTTTAGGTAGGAGAGGCCAACTACTGGGAGTACTTTAGGCAGAGGGTAGCAGGTTATTGATATGCTACTGCATGTATAGCTGTCGGAGTGGCCAGTGGAGTCACTGGGTCCCCCACAGGGAAGTATGTCAGTAACATTCTCATACAATGGTACAGACTTGAGAGGATAAGCATACTGAACAAAGCTGCTCCTTCATAGACGACTGCCTCATCTAGAGGTGACACAGCTGCTTGGAATTCCACCAGAAAACAAAATACCCCTTTCTAGAAATGCAAACCCAAATCACAATGAGATATCACATTGTACCTGTTAGAATGGTTATCATAAAAAGGACAAGAAATCAGTGTTGGCAAGGATGTGAAGAAAGGAGAACCCTTGTGCACTGTTGGTGGGAATGTAAATTGATATAGACACTTTGGAAGACAGTATGGAGTTTCCTCAAAACATTAGAAGTAGAATTTCCATATGGTTAAGCAATTCCCCTCTTCTGGTATACAGTTGAAGGAAATGAAATCACTATCTTGACATATCTGCATTCCTTTGTTCACTGCAGCATTACAATAGAGAAGACGTATAAACAATGTTCATTAACAGATGAATAAAGAAAATGTGGCATAGGTAATGGAATATTATTCAACTATAAAAAGAGAAAACCCTGCCATTTGCTACAACATGGCAAATGCCCTTGAGAGCATTATGCTAAGTAAAATAAGTCAGACAGAGACATACTGTATAATCTCACTTATATGTGGAATCTAAAAAAGCGGAACTCATAGAAACAGAACAGATTGTTAGTCGGCAGAGGTGGGGGTTGAGGGTGTGGGGGAAATAGACGAAGGTGGTCAACAGGTACAAACTTCTAGTTATAACAAATAAATTCTGGGTGTGTAATGTGTAGCCTTGTGATTACAGTTAACAATACTGCATTGTGTATGAAAGTTGTCAAAACAATAGTAGATCTGAAAAGTTCTCATTGTAAGAAAATATGATACCGATGTATGGTGCTGGATGTTAACTAAACCTATTGTGGTGATCATTTTACAATATATACATATACAGTGAACAAATGTAGACCTAGTTTATGCACGTATACATATATCAAATTAGTTTAAGAATGTTATGTCATTCTCTTAATAAAAGTAAGAGTTGACAGCAGAAGCCCTAAGAAAGTGTGGGTACATCATCAGCCCTAATTCTGTCATCCTGGCAAAATCATTAGTTTGGAAGGCTTGGTGGGTTAGGAGCTATGCTAACAGTCCCTCCCCATCCAGAGAAGATCTACAAATATTATTGGTAGCATTTCATGCCGGGTGGGGTCGTTGAGTAGGTGCCTTACTTAATGCTGCTAGAAGGTTCAATAAACTTTGAGCAACAGAATCCGATGCCAGAAGACTCCTTTCTTTCTGGCACAAAGAGAAAGGGGCCCCAAAGAGTTCTGCTTCCTTTCCCCAAATGGGGAGCTTAGAATACAGTTGCATCTGAAGGAGAGAGGGTTGGTATCTGGGTGGCCGATGAACTGTCTTGATTGCTGCAGAGGCTATGATAATGCTGAAGGCTTGGTGTTGGTGGTAGGGTAGCCTAGGGAATATTGGTTTCTGGTTGAATCCAGCATTGTTAGTATTCCTGCCACCTGAGGACACTGTTGGAAAAGAGAAAGTGGTGGGGATCATTGGAGATCAAGGGTGCTCCGGAATTAGCTAGCACAGGTCAAAGTGGCAGCAAGCAGAGCAAACGGAAATTAGCATGTTTTCTGAAACAAAGGGGTTATATAAGACATGCAAATCAGAGGTGGGCCTTAAGAGAGTCCCTTGAAACATTGGTACAATTCCACAGAAGATGCCTTTGTCTGGGAATAGGCTTATTAAGGGCTGAGAGCCAATTCCTAGAGAGCGGAGGGGCCTGCTCCTCATTTCCAGATCCCATCTCACAGAGGGACTGGATTTGACAGTGATGGGAGCCTGAGTCCTCACCCAAGAAAGGGAGCATCAGTCTGAGAGGACACAAGTGACCCGGGCAGCAGGGTCTGGATCTAGGCCAAGACTCTGGCAATATGGATGGGACCAAAGTGGTTAAGGGCTCAAGGAGAAAGTCAATTTGACAAACTGGTCACACATGGAGGGCAGGGGGTCCTGGGGCTCACGAACGGGAACTGAATCTACTCCAAAGGGAAGAGCACCAACGAGGCACTGACATAGAAAACATTTCTTCGGGATTGTTAAGTCCCCAGTGAACGGTGAACAAATGTGGACCTAGTTTATGCACGTATACGATGAACAAGTATTCATTTTGTTGTTGCTACTGTTATTGTTTCCCTTGAATCACTTCCTTAGAAGAAGTGAGACCTGTAACACCTATGAATCCAGAGGCTCTCCTGAATCAGCCCAGACCCATGAGGCCCTTCCTAATACGAATTCTAATCTTTACTCATGTCGCTCATAATCCCCACTAATTCATGGTAACTTTTATTTAACTCTTGTGTTTTCTTTTATTTTCTAGCACTCCCAAACTTCTGGGAGTATCTCGTCTTCCTATGCTAGACAACTCCTTTCTCAAACATGCGCCCCAGCTCACTGCTATGTGCTCCCCCTGTACTTTATGCGTCCACTGCCACAGACACCCTGAGGATTGTGGTTGTCTTCCTCTGAGTTGCCTTTTCATTCCTCTCGCCCTAGGAATCTCTCTGGTTCTGAGTCTCTCGGCCTAATACAGGAATCACAGAAGTGCAGAAACCCTTCTGACTTGATCTAGAATTTCCACAGAAAGTAGGTGAGGAGAAGAGGAAAGGGAGGGACAGGTTTACTGAACAATTTCTACAGAGTCGTTTTCCCAACTAATACTAGTTTTTCATGAGTAACAAAAAGGAACAAACCTTAAATTTATTCCTTACTGTTCCATTCACATAAGTAACCTGAGGTCTCCATTCGGGTAATGCGCACCCATGGAGGAATGTGTGCTTGCATATGTACAGCATGGGGCAAAAGTAGGTTTACAGTTGTGAGTACAAAAAGCAGAGTTTATTCTTGTATTGTTATTGTAATTATTGTATTTTCCATATGAACAACTGTAGACCTACTTTTGCCTGCCTCTGTATACCAGTATTTACTCTTACATGTGGCCAATTCTCCATGGCCAAAGAGCTCATCACCTTCTCCAGCCTGGGAGCCTCACTGCTCTAGATTCCTGCTGATTCTCCTCCAAAAAGTGAGTGGGAGACAGGTGTGCTTCTGAATTCTCATGTGGGTGGCAGAGGCAGTCACTTTGGGGAATGCATAGATTATAGCCAGTGTCCCTCCTTTTAGGAGACTATATTCAGAACTATTTTTTCTAAAAATTGAATTTGTGAGCTACTTGCTTTATTCAGATATCTCTTGCAGCTGTGTTTTATTGTTGTTAGTACAATTTAGACCATAATTAGAAATTTACCTTTGAGATAGTTACCAATGAGCTTTAAATTAACTTTTACATTCTTCTCAGTTGGATCAAAGGCACAAATACTGTCAACTAAGTGTTTGTTAAAGTACTGTGAATAAAGAACAAAAATTATGGGATCACCAACGAGTGGAACTAGAGTACCCAATTCACCAGTTTGTATAATTTCATTTATATAAATTATAAAACAGGCAAAACCAACGTATGGTTTAGAAGTCAGACTTCTGGTCACCCTAGGTGTGTGTATGTGGGGGGAGAGGGAGTCATGGGAGAGAGTACAAAGGAGAGCTTTTGAGATGCCCCTAGGATCTGTTTCTTAATTTAGGTGGTTATAAATGTTCATTGTGTAAAAATCCTTGCATTTGTACACTTATGATTCGTGCAATTATGATTTGCATGCCTAAACTTGTGTGGGTTATTTTTTCAATAAAAAGAATACTTAAAAAGAACTTACCAGTTTACATTTATCCCAAATTTCTAATTCATGTGATGATTCCAACTCTGGATGAATGAACAAGATAACCGCTGTCAGGATTTCAGGTACTAGTTTTGCATTGGCTTCCAACTCGTGTAACTGGCTGGCTGTCAGAGATTTATTTGACTGTATTGCAGAACGGTAATCATAGAGCAACAGTGATACAAAGTCCATGGAGGTAAGCTGCCGAAGGCTTTTCTGCAGCTCTTGCAGCATGATTCGGAAGAAGAGAACTCCTGCCTGCTGGACTTCTCCTGCATTTTCAATCTCTGGAATAACAGAATTATATCCTACATGGTTGTTTATACATACATTATATTTTTCAGAGGATTCTGAGCATAATATAATAAACTTCTTTTAGAAAAAAGATCATATCTTACAGTTTTAAACAATCTTAGTTTTTCTAGTCATGAAATCAAAAGGCAGAAATGAAACTACACCTGGTAAAATGCACAGGAAGAGGCTTTGAGGAAAGGTGAAAGGAAACTCGTGTTTTGACATTAGATCTTAGTTTGAATATCTACTCTCCCCCTTATTCTTTTGTCTCTCTGAACCCCCTCTTCCTTTTTTGTGAGAATGAGATTGATTCCTACTTCTCTGGTGAGTGTGGACTTTAAATGAGTTGATATAATCAGGCCAGAACGAAATGGAATTAAATATACAAAGTTATGCAAAGCAAGGGAATAAATCCAAGAATACTATACCCAACAAGGCTATCATTCAAAATTGAAGGTAAAATCAGGAGCTTCACAGACAAAAAAGGGCTAAGGGAGTTTATTATCACCAAGCCAGCAATGCAAGAAATGCTAAAGGGACTTCTGTAAAAAGAAGAAATAGAAAGGGAAGAAGGAACACAGGTGTAAAGAATAAAAATGGCGACAAGTACCTATCAATTATAGCCTTAAATGTAAATGGGTTAAATGCTCCAATCAAAAGACATAGAGTACTGAATGGATAAGAAAACATGACCCATATATTTGCTGTGTACAAGAGACCCACCTCAGAACAAAGGACTCACACAGACAGACAGTGAAGGGATGGAAAAAAGTTTTTCAGGCAAATGGAAATGGAAGAAAAGCTGGGGTAACAATACTTATATCTGACAAAATAGACCTCAAAGTGAAGGCCATAACAAGAGATAAGGAGGACGACTTCATAATACTAAAGGCAGAAATTCAACAAGAGGATATAACTCTAGTAAACATATATGCACCCAATACAGGAGCACCCAAATACATAAAAACACTTCTGGAAGGTATCAAGGAAGAGACCGACACCAATACAGTCATAGTAGGGGACTTTACTATCCCATTGACACCACTGGATAAATCCTCTAAACAAAAAATCAGCAAAGAAACAGCAATCCTAAATGACTCACTAGATCAGATGGAATTAATTGACATCTTCAGAACATTTCACCCCAAAGCTACAGAATATACAGTCTTCTCAAGTGCACATGGGACATTTTCAAAGATAGACCACATATTAGGACTTAGGACATAGGCAAAGTCTCTTCAAATTCAAGAAGATAGAAATCATATAAAGCATCTTCTCAGATCATAATGGCATATAATTAGAAATCAACTACAAAATAAGACAATGAAAAAAAATTAAACATTTGGAGGCTAAATAGCATGCTATTAAACAGTGATTGGGTTACCATTACAAAAGAGATCAAAGAAGAAATAAAAAGCATCCTGGTAACAAATGACAATGAAAAGACAACAATCCAAAATCTATGGTACAAAGTGAAAGCAGATCTGAGAGGAAAGTTCATAGCTCTACAGGCCTACCTCAAAAAAACACGAAAAAATGGTAATAAATTATCTAACCCTACAACTTAAAGAATTTGAAAGAGAGCAATAAGAAAAGCCCAGAGTAAGCAGGAAGAAGGAAATAACAAAGATCAGAGCGGAAATCAACAACGTAGAGACCCCCCCCCCCAAAAAAAAAAACAATACGAAAGATCAATATACAACCAAGAGCTGGTCCTTTGAAAGGATAAACAAGATTGATGAACCCCTAGTCAGGCTCACCAAGAAACAGAGAGGAACCAAAAAAACAAAATCAGAAATGAAAGAGGTAAAGTAACAACCAACCCCACAGAAATACAAAAGATTGTAAAAAAAATACTACGAACAACTCTACTCCAACAAACTGGACAACCTAGATGAAATAGACATATTCTTAGAAAAATACAAGCTTCCAAAACTCAATCAGGAAGAATCTAAAAATCTCAATAGGCCAATAACTATGGCTTTAGCTTCTTTATCTGTAAAATCAGATGCTCTGATGACTTAACGCTATGTAATATAGTGGAAAGAGCACTCAAACTTGAGTGTAAATCCAGTCTCCACCACTTGCTAACTGTGATTTGGTGCAAGTTGTTTTGTTTCTTTAAACTTTGCCTTTCTCACCTATAAGATGAGGCATCACCATTCACCTCATAGAGTTATGGTCAGGACTAATTGAAATAGCATATTTAAAGTGCTTGGTATATGATGGGGCATTTAATAAATGCCAGTTCTATATTGCCTTTAGGAGGCTTTCTAATTCTAAAATCATGTGATTCTAGCCAAGAAAATGCAATTCCTTACCCTTTACTCTAATTTATAGCTCATACTCATCAGTCCAAGACTGCATGAGGGGATTCCTTTCATGAGGAAAATCTGTATATTGCAACAACTCATTTTAGAAAACATCCTTCATTGCATTGCCTGTGATTTCCCCAAAACTAATTAAACCCATAAATTTAGACTGTCACCACATTCACAATACCTAAGACACGATTCTTCTCTTTTTCTCCAGATAACTCGTCCAGTATTTCATAGCAGGCAGCTTGGGTCACCTTCACCATTTTCTGTAGATCTTTAAATTCTCGATAAAACAACATCTTCCTCTTGCCAATGTTAAAATCGAGAGCCCCCAGAGCCTCTCCTGTTCTCTCACGAAGTGGAATTGCGATGTGGTTTTCTCCACAGACAGAGGCCAAAAGAACTTCTGAACTGTCTATACACTTAAAAAGGAAATCCCTGAAATCAAAACCAAATAAGCATAAGGGTATCGAAGATCAGCCTGTTCATAACATTCCACCCAAACATACTGAATCACTCTCTTTTATGCCTACTACACTTCAGCCCACCAGCTCTTGTTGCTACTTCATCTGCCTGGACCACTTCATCTCTTGATTTCACAGAGCTCTCCCTCAGCTCACTCACTCATCTCCTCTTAGAGAAGCCTTCCCTACCCGTGTAATCTAAAGTAGTAGCGCCTGAGTCACGCTCCCTCATGTTATTCTGCTTTATTGTCTTTGCTGGACTTACACTTATCTGAAAAGTATTCATTTTTTGTTTGTTTACATGTTGTCCAGGAAGTATTGGAGGAATGCCTGAAGGAATGATGCGTGTTAGGTTCTCTAGAAGCAGCACCCGAGACAGGGAAATGATTTATTCAGGGAATGCTCTCAGGAAAAACCTGTGAGGGTCTAAGGAAAGCAGGAGAGGGAAGGGGGAAAAGCTACATAAGAATGTGATTTCAGGTAAAGTCTAACCTCAGCCTGATCCCAAGGGGAGCTCTGGGAAGCAAACTGTCAACGTCTGTCCCACCTGGATGCAAGGAAGAGGTCTTTGTCAGTGGTTGGCTCTGAGTTGCTCTGTGGGTGGGGAAGAGTGTTTACATAACTGGTAGGCACCTCCTGGTGAGAAGCTCCCATTTCTCAAGGGCACTCCTCCTGAGAAAGCTACAGTGGGAGTCATTAGCAGTAGCACTTGCAGCAGCTGGCAAAAGATACATGGGGGATCTGGGCTGGGCATCAACAGCATCTGCTTCAGTGAGAGACCAGAGGTTTTCACAGAAATGCAGTGGCATAGTGAGGTATGGACACATCTCTTTTTATCTCCTTTCCTCTTTCCCCATCTACATTGGGATGTCATTCTTTTGAGGTATTTGTAAAAATGTTGGTGCTTTGCATTGCCTCAAAAAAAAAAAAAAAAAAAGAAGCACATTTACAGTTTATAATACCAATCCTATAATGACAGGTAAGATTCTGTCTTTTGCTACTCCCACCACTGTGTGACTTTATAACAATAGTAATGCATCATGCTAAACTGATGCATCATTAAATGAGTCTGCGTGTTACAAAGACTCCCCTAAAACTCTTGAACACCACAAGGAATAATTATGTGAATAGAAATAGAAATAATAATAGAAGAAGAGTTTCTAACTTAATGAACATTCTGGTACTAAAATTTAATTAAATAGGTACTTAAATATCAACTTAGCCTTCAGGCTAAGATAGGTTATTGACTACTCAGCTACACTGACCCTCCCCAAGAAGCAGTCAGCCCCCTCTTGCAATAGGAGTGTTCTCAGTAAAGATGTTTTGCATCTGTCCACAGTTTAATAGTGTTCCTGTATTCCACAGGTGAGAGGCAGTTGAAGTAACCCGGAACTGGGTATTTATTGAAGATAACATTCTTTGACTCCTGTCCTCTTTTGTCCAGCCTGTCTTCTTTAAATAAAATATACTTGTTCACAAGCTGGCTAATATTAAAATGAGGAATTTTGATAAGTGGTGTAGATGTATTTGTCATAATCATAGTGGGTTTTATTTAATTCCTTGTTTACAAGAAAATCATAGAAAATAAAAGACGATCATGCTTAACAACATGCAATTTTAATATAAAACACCAATGAGATTTGTTTTAAAAAGGACTTGAGGGGGAAAGGAGTTCATATGACCCATGCAGTCAGGAGATTGTCTCTAAAATCCAATCAGAATGAGAGTCACAGTATACTAATAGGAGGCAAAAGCTGTGCTTTCAGATCTATCACACCCGGCTGTGTGCTCTGGCAAGTAAACAAAACAGACATGAAGATGCCTCTCCTACCTGAAGATGCATGTCTTCCTGAAGATGGTAGGGGGATTTTTGTGGATTTCTGTTAGACCTAGGGGCCCTGTGACCATCATATTGCGTAAAACATAGTCTGAACCCTTGAAAAGAGGAAGATATTTCATTATGGAGAAGAACAATTAGACTTCATATTCTCATTAAAGCTTTTGGGGACAGATAAGTAGGAAAAAATTAGAAAAGCTTAGATGATTTCTAGTTTTAAGTACAGTGACATTTTACTTACTCAGTACCATTAAGGAATGAGGTGTTCCACAAGAGAAAAATGTCAAAATATGAGACTTATTTAAATCCAAAAGCATATTTTTAAAAATAATTGTGATAAAATGCCATGTTTATATTATTTTTCTGATGTTACAAGTGCACTGTAGAAAAGTTCCCTATCCCAGGCACATCTCAGGATAGGTCAAAATGAGTTTTCTTTCTTGGGTTTTCCAAATTGGAACAGAAAGGAAAGATTCTTTTCAAACTACTAAACAGCTGGCTTTGCCTTGTGGAAAAAGCCCATCTTTAGCTGGAAGTACAAAGCCAAAGTGCAGAGGGAAGCAACATGAGAACTGGGGAGAGAAAGAACCTGAGAGAGCCCTGATGGCATTGAATCCCTGGATCTGGTCATCTTGGAAAACACCTTAATGTCTATCCTTTCTTCATTTCGGTCACATGAGTCAAGCAATTCCCCTTTTTGCCTAAGGCAGTATGAGATGGATTCCTGCCACTCAACTGTGGACAGTTTGAGTGCGTGTCATGGGAACTATGTCCCCAGTTAGCCTAATAGCTAACTAAATAAGGTTTTAAAATATCAGCAAGACAATAACATCTAGAAACTCTGTTGCCCTTGGAAGGTCTAACACTGCCCAGCCTTGCCTACCTGCTCTGGGCTAGGCTCAATGAAGTATGTAGAGATGGCGTTAATGTCTGGTATGATGTCGTAGAGCCAGCTGATGCCAGTGATCACAACGTGCAGGATGTGCTCCCGGCTGTGGACATAGTGATAGGCAGTGCTGAAGACATTGGCAACACCCTGTAGAGACAGAATATTTTAATTGCCTTTTCTTTTTAAAATAGCAAAATAATTAGTAATGTATCCATTGGATTATCTTTTTCACTAATGATAATCTATTTCCTACAAATTACTTCTCAACAGGCAGTGCTCTGGCTTCTATGAAAAAAAGAATCATCAAGAAGTCAGAGGTGTAAAAAGAAATCTACCATAAGATCCACATAACTTATGTTTCCTGATAATCATCCAGTGAAATTTGTGATATGTGCAATCAGAAAATAGTGTCAGAAGAACAAAATAAAATTTGAAATGAGAAAAAATGTTTAAAAGCCAAGATGAATGCCAGCCTTGGGCAGATGGGTAGGAGTGCCCTGATCTGATGCAATATTAATGTCTGTATCTTTACATGGCTACTGACATCAGATCAGCAGAACAGGATGTGCTGGGTTCCAAAGTTTGCAACATGTACAGTCTCCTTATGGGCACAAAATGATCCTGTTCCATAGAGAAGCAATGGGAAGTCCTTAGTACTCATCTGTGGTCTTGTCGTCAAGAAACTCTAGGAACCACAAAGTCTTCAAAAATATATGTAGCCCAGATGGTGTGGCTCAGTGGTTGAGTGTCAATCCATGAAACGAGGTCACGGATGATTCCCAGTCAGTGCACATGCCTGGGTTGTGGGCTTGATCCCTAGTGTGGGGCGTGCAGAAGGCATCTAATCAATGATTCTCTCTCATCATTGATGTTTCTATCTCTCTCTCCCTCCCCCTTCTCTCTGAAATCGATAAAAATAGATTTAAAATATGTATATGTGTACTTTATATTAGGACCCAAGGCATCTAAAGTAATAATACAGGAGCCTTTACCTCCAAGGTCTAGGGAATCTATAATTCATTTTGACATGTTCTCTAACAAGGCTGTGTATTAGTTCACCTACTGATAACTCCATACTCCTCCATTTTGCTTCTAAATATCTTCATATCATTATGTCAGATGAGAATGAATCTTATTCTTTAAAAGATGTCCAGAGAAAAAAGATTCTACCACTTTCCAGTTACCCAGTAAGTGGGAAGAGAAATTTTAAAATAATGGTAAATAAATATGAGGAGCCAGGGGCTTACAGGGAAACAAATGATAAGGGCAGAGCAAGTTCCCGATTGCCGCTATAAAGGTTTTATAGTATGTCTATTGCCTCCATAAAGGCTTTCAATCTTCCTCCATTGCAATTTCCATTCATAAATTTAAATGTTTGTAGAAATGATCCAGTTATTGTATAGTTTTAAAAGTGCCTAAAACTTAAGCATTTTTCTTCATTCTTTATCCTCAAAAATTATAATACTGATATCAAGAGCTGTGGGATCACATATCATATTTAGCACCATTTGTAGAAAGAGCAAAGGATTTCTAGGTTCCACTATTAATAAAACATAAATATGTTCTTTCTAAAAGTTCATTCTGACTATGTGGGTCTTAATGGTCTAATAGTTGGAATTTGGTTCTACAGTATAGAATTCTGTTTCTGTGATTAACGCAATGGGACACATTAATAATCTTCCCAGAGATTCTGAAGCATAGTTGTGCAACTGAAGCTGACAGTTCTTCCATGTGTAATGCGGAACCTCTCAAAATACTGACACATATACACAGGGAACTGGAACCATATGACAACCCTATCTACATATATAGCTCTACCCTCATCTAGTTTCAGGTTTTGCTTTGTAAAAAGTATAAAAGGAGAAGCCATCCTACCATTGCTATGGAAGAATCCTTCTCTGACTTACCTGATAGAATCTGATCTCATGAGGCAAGAAGATGTTTATTTTCTGGGGATCTCTTAGTGTGTCAATAGCCAGGACCCCGAAGATCCTCATATGTGCATTCTGAAGAGGCAGAGCCAAGAATGATCCATTTTTCTCATTCTCCTTGCGGGAATCGTTCCAGAAGAAAATGTTCCCATGGTGCTGAACTTGAGGGACATGTACTGGCTTCCCTTTATCTATTACTGTAAAGCTAAGGAATAGGAATAGGAGGATGAGAGAAAGGCACAGGAGGAGCTTTAGGTTAAACCATGTAGAAACTAGATCAACTCTCCATTCATAATCATTGGCATTACATGTCAGAGAAGTGGACTCATAAAATTACCAGTTTGGAGAGTCTGACTTGAAAGATTTAAAAAACAAGCTTAGATCATAACAGAGAAAACATATATAATCAGGAGGCAGGAGACATACTTTAAAGAGCAGGCAGAAATAATTGAGCTGATATTGTAAAGCAGAATCCCTACATGGCCAATCAATGCCTAAGTAAACTCCAGAAATGATCAAGTGAAATCACCTGAGACTGGAAACCAATCATCTCCACTCTAGAAGCATTGGTGACCTGAGGCATTTCTCTCTTGGGCAGCTAGCTAGGATTTCAATGCTAATTTATTTCAGAAAGGGAATTATTTTTTCAAAGAAGGGTGAAATCGCCGGGTTGGTGTGGCTCAGCAGTTGAGCATCGACCCAGGAAACAAGAGGTCCCTGGTTCGATTCCTGGTCAGGGCACATGCCAAGGTTGTGGGCTCAATTCCCAGTAGGGGGCATGCAGGAGCCAGCTGATGGATGATAATGTTCCTCTCTCGTCAATGTTTCTCTCTCTCTATTCATCTCCCTTCCTCTCTCTAAAAATTAACCAAAACATATTTTTAAAAAAGGAGGGTAAAATCAACTTTTTCAAGAAATTCTTACCTGATTCCCTTCATGTCCCTGTAGAGCACTTTGTTTAGTACAAATGGAGCATCATCTAAAGTACAAGCTACATTCCTTAATAGAACAGCCCCTCTATGAGGCAGTAGTCGGTTTTCTTCTAAGAGGGAAATGTGAGCACTGATCTTCTTATTTCCATGGACTTGAGCATCCTATGGCAAAATGTTGCTGATGATGTATTTGCCAATAGCAATTCTCTTAATCACATCTTCCTTCATTAGCTAGTTTGTGCCTTTGACCCCAATAATTTCATTTTCATGAATAAATCATTAAGATATTACTATTCATGGGCAGTGAAGAAAAGTGTACACTGACTCCACAGCTGTCCCCCAAACCTGAATTTTAGTGAGTGTAATGGATTTAATTTATGCCAATTAGACTGGTTTACTAAAAATAAGTAAGTAAGTAAATAAATAAATAAATCTCAAAGTCTACTCAAATTTAGAGGTTTAAAACTTGGATCCTACCCAGTTAAAACTTGGATCCCACCCAGCTGGCGTGGCTCAGTGGTTGAGCGTTGACTTATGAACCAGGTGGTCACGGTTCAATTCCCAGTCAGGGCACATGCCCGGGTTGCAGGCTCAGTCCTCAGTGTGGGGTATGCAGGAGGCAGCGGATCAATGATTCTCTCTCATCCCTTTCTCCCTCTCCCTTCCTCTCTGAAGTCAATAAAAAATAAAATAAAATAAAAATACTACTTGGATCCCTTTGGCCCTGGTAGGTAGCTCAGGCAAGCATGTCAAACTCGTGGCCTGCAGCCGGCCCTCTGGCTGCGAGTTTGACATGCTTGGGTTAGAGTGTTGTCCTGATATGCCAAGGTTGTGGGTTCAACCCCTGGTCAGTGCACATGCAAGAATCAGCCAGTGAATAAATAAGTGGAACAACAAAACCGATGTGTGTTTTTTTCTCTCTCCCTTCCTCTCTCTCTCTCAAACCAATATACATATTTTTAAAAACTTATATCCCTTTGAACTATAGTCAGATTGTTTGGTATTCCATTAAAAGTATTTATTTTAGAGAGCTGGGGCAAGAAAATGGCTTCATTTTACTCATTTCTTAACCTTAATCTACTATTATGTGAACGTGGAAAAAGGCTCCGATGGAATTCTTAACATAGATTGGCTATGACATTTGATTTATGTCATTTTAGGAAAGGATTTTTGGGGCCTCATTTTGCAGACTTTATGCAGTTACTATTTCTATTGAAATAACTGAAAATTCTCTATACCTAAAATATTATTATGTTACCAAGAATATTATGTGTTAATACATATACTGAACACATCCATAAGTTGGGGGACATGAGAGACACATTCCTTGATATTTGTCTCATCTTTCTATATATTTAGGTTGACTTTTCATGCCTTTTTTTCTGCCTTTATGTCTCCTTTTCTACATAAAAATCTATAGAGTAACAAAAATATAGTGAGGTTTCTCTTGGGATACTGTAGATCTCTGAAACAAGTTGGAATAATAGCTCTTTTTCTTGATTGGTCTCCTGTTCCTAGTCACACCATTTCAAACTACATTGGAAACTTCAGCCATTCAGGACATGATTCCAATAATCGAGTGTTGCTATTTAGCTGAGCCGAATGACACAGGTTCCCTGGATCAAAGGAATCTGTGATATATGCAGAAGATAGCCATGTTATCATTTCTATCTGGGAGGAGCAGCAAGCTGGAGGTTTTGAGGGGGTGGCAAAGCTGTGGACAGTGGCCCATGATGGTCATGTGTTTTAAGTGACAGGATTCTGTAATAGTCTCAGCTTGTTTCTAGGCAGTGTTACGAAAAATTGTGTGGTGTTGGATTCCATTTTATAATAACTTTGTTTTAAATAGTTCCTTTTTGAACTGACTCTCAAAACATCATGCAAGGGAGATATAGTTTGACCTCCTTCCACATCTCCCTATTGGTATTTTTTGATATCAGTCTATTTTCTGTTCTCGGTTTATTTGAGTCTCAGCACAGATGAAATTAGAAATCCCAAGACATAATTCTGTCTTTTATGCGTTTCCTCTCTGAGTCTGCCTTGCCAACCTGCAGTCATTCCAGTTGCATCTTCCCTAGGCTTTGGGTCATTGTAATGTATTAAAGAGAGAGAGAGAGAAAAAAAAACATCTATAGCAATACCCACCAAATTTTAAGAGAATTTAGTGTGCTCCTCCTTTACAACCATTGAATATCACCTACTGTGAGGAAGTTTTTCTTTTTATGTATCATTTTAGAAAACATACCTGTGTGAGGGCCTTAAAGGTCTCAGTGTACACTGGCTCCAGGGATACCCCACTTGTTTCTGCAGCATGTTGAATTTGGTGCAGCCACTTCCGTCTGGCACTGTTCCTCAGACCCTCAAAATGGCTTCTTTCTAAGGTGGTCATCAGAAACTCCACCAGGCTTTCCAGAACCTGGTCTTCATTGCCCCTGAGTTCAGATACAACCAATTCTATGTATTTCTGAAACTGTTTTGAAGACAACCTCACTTCTTGACCAGGGTGTGGCTTTGGAAATTGGATGTGTAATTTAGCTAAAAGACATAAACACAAAACCCAAGGACTAATCAAAAGCTCATTTACCTGTGGAAGAAATTTTCATTCTCCTCTTACAGCAAACTGAAGTCTCTTGACAACTGTCGCCCCTTCCTCCAATGGAAAATCAGGTATATTAAAGGCATCTAAGCCCAACGAAACATGTTACAGTGAATTCCTATGATAAACTCAAGATGAGTCCTATGTCATCTTTCCTGTTTTTGTTTTGTTTATTTAATTCTACCACTTAGGCAAAATTCCAGGGTCAACTTTCATTCCACCCTACCTTTTCCCATCCATTTCCAATAGACTACTTAACTCTCTCCTGTTAGTCATTGACAATGTATCGTCCTCACCATTCCTGCTTCCATAATACTAAACCAGTATTAATCACTTTATAAGTGGATTACCAATGGTAAGGCTCAATACATATTTATGAAATTAAATTAAAACACAACTTCAATTATGCAATTTCTTGGTTCAAAGTATATTTGGATCCAGTCCATTTTCCAAGAATATTTGCCCATAATACCATATAGGAATTATTTATTTCAGTATCCCCATTCTATTCATGATCCCTGACTATGCCTTGCACACTTCTGCACCCACATCTATCTCTTATTTTTTTAGCATACAATCATGATCTACTACCAAACCTAAACATTACTAATAACTTACATCTTCTTTTATGCCCTTGCCATTGTTCCACCTGCCTATCCACATCCCCGCACTAGTATTCTGAAATTTTGCTTTTGCTTTATCTTTTCCTTCCTTTTCTTTTCCCAATAGTGTTATTGTGTGTGTGTGTGTGTGTGTGTGTGCGCGCGCACACACACACACGTGTACTTCTAACCATATGTGGTTTCATTTTATCTTTTTGTATACTTTAGAAAAAGGACATCATACTATATGTACTTTTCTGGGGCTTGCTTTTTAATTCAACATTATGCTACCATATACATCTATGTTGTTCCTGTGGCTGTGACTTACTCATTTTCCCTATTATATAATATGTCATTTTGTAAGTATACCATCATCAATTTATTTATTCTATCAGTGGGCATTTAGGTTGTCTCTAATATTTTGCTCTTATGAACAGTGCTATGAGCATTTTTGTACATGTCTCTTGGTGCACATGTGTAAGTTTATTTGATATTTATTATAAATTAATAAGTCATAGAGTATGCACCTTTCCTCTTTAAAATTCAAGAAGGCTTCCACCTGAAAGATAATAACATTCATACTATATTAATTATTTGACAGTTAACAAATACTGCCTCTTTTAGTCATCTTATTATATGATTTTTGCTCTTTAGCATCCACTCATCTTTCTCCTAGCAATTGTATCCCAGATTTTGCTTTGGGGAAACTACTCCACTCCAACCTCAGGTCATATGTTTGAGTGAGGTTCCACTTGAAAGAGGTCCTAGAGGTGGAGCATGCATCTCAGCTCTAAGCCAGTCAGGACATCATATTCCCCTCACCAGAGTGGTTGGGTTAGTCCAGACTAATGCCAGACTCTTTACTTGAATTATTAGGAAGAGGACATTTTCCTTCTTATTCTCACTTAATTTGAATAAACCTGTTGGGATGTGAGATTGAACCTGATCACCATGAGGGGAAAGAGTGTGTGAAAGTGGAGTCAACACATAGAAGAGAAGAGGACCAGACTGAAAGAGAGAGAAAGAGAAAGAAGCAGATACCTGTCCTGAAGTCATTATTTGAACTCCCAAATCTGGTGTGTCCTGAACTAGCCCTGGACTTTTCCATCACATGAACCACTAACGTCCACTTTTGCTAAACCACTTTGTTAAGAAAAAAAAGACTGTTAGCATATATTGAACTCTAAGTAATGATATGCATGCTGAAGTATTTAGGGAGGAGTATATGGATGTCTGTAATTTACGTGTAATGCATCAAAAATAAGAAGTAGATGGAAGGACAGAAAGATGGAGAGATGAATAGATAGATAATAAAAAAGTTTAGTAAAATGTTAATGATAGAAATCTAGGTAGTAGAAATATAGATACTCACAAAATTCTTCCAGCTTTGCTGTATGTTTTAAATTTTTTTATAATAAAATATTAGAGAGGAGAGGAGGGCATAGACAGTTTGAAAGGACTCCCATGGGTTAAATATAAAAATATATGAGCATTATAATGATAGTGTTGGATTATAATTTACTGTATAAAATAGGAAAAACTGAATATATACTGTTATGAATGAATAAACAAAAAGTTTGACAAGAAATGGAATGTTTATATAGTTGCAAAATAATTATTAATTACAAAGGAAAAGAAGAGTAACTTTAAAATGGAGGAGCCTGACTAATACCATCTTCTCATGAGATTTCTGATAACATTCAATGAGAAGAACGCAGCATCACTTATATGACATTCCTGCCAAAAATGAACAACCTAACTGTAATCATAAGGAAATACTAGACAAACCTAAAGGAAGTAAAAATTACAAACAAATCTGCCTTCATTCTGAATAAATGGCAAGCCATAGAAAGCAAGGAAAGACTGCGGAGTTTCTTAAAGATTCCTTGTTCCACGGTGAAGAAACAGTAATAGTTTTACACTAACCACTTGTCCAGATTTCAGTTTCTTTAAGGAACACTGAGTATTTCAATGAGACTTTCTAAATAAATGTGAGAATTTGGTGACAGAATGACTCACCAAAATGTTACAATTTTAAGAGAGTTAAATGCCCTACTTAAATAGCAATGTATATATTAAAGCAAATTTTATCATTTAATAGAAAACTAAAGGACATGTCCAACAAATGTTAATAGCTATTTCATGGGAAGTAATGGAGGAAGATAATTTTTTCTCTTAAATTCTACAGTGTAGACAGGTCACATGTTCTACAGATTTTTATATATGATATTTCTGTTCAAAAGATTAGGCTATATTAGATGGGAATAAAAAGGGAAAATTACAGTGTAAAAGTTTCAAGTTGCCCTTTCCATATAGAAAACTTCCATTTTGAGGACACCAGCAGAAACATTTCTAGGAATTTCTAATTCTGTGACATTATCCTATTTAAACCCCAATTTTTAATCTTGGACACAGAATTGTATAAGAAGGGCAGAGAAAAAACAAACAAATAAAAAAAGAGCTGTCTAAAGGTTTTCGAATCTGTTATTAGCTAATGTTTGAATTTTAAAATTTTTCCTTTTTTAAGAAACAAAATCTGCCTTTCAGCTTCCATATGACCATCAGTTCAGCATTTATCTCCACAGGCCTGGTGGCTACCAAGATGTGTTCAGAGAGAGTCGTTTTGTATGAGTCTACCCTTGGAGAGAATAATTTGTTCTTCCTGCTTGCAGACATTTTCTTCTGGCAGCAGATTCTGTCTCCTCATTACTTCATTTTTATTTGCTTGGCTTAACCCATTACATTTTTGCTTTCTACCTATCCCTACTGCTGTACTTCAATCATATATATTGGAACATCCTTATAACATTATCCTGAGGTTCCTTAAATTCCAGAATTCATAGTGTCTAACTCCTTCATTTTACAAATGACGACACCTGGATCTACAGAGATTCAATAATTTGCCTTTGCTCACATGACCATTTAGTGAAAGATCCAGTATCGGAACCTAGCACTCCTGACCATTGTGTAATGTTCTTTCCTCTGTAGAACATGGTTCTGTGTTAGGAAATTTGCCCATATTATAAAACCACCTCATTATGCCTTTCAAAACTTCATTAAGTAAATCCTTTTTGGTTGCAGTTTAAGAAAGTAGGGTAGTGTAATGTAAAGTTTGCAAAAGACATAGTTAATTAAAAACACATGACAATAGATAAACTTAGGGCAAAAGAATGTTAATCCTAATCATTCCTTCTGCTGTGCACTATATACTTTAAGAGTTAGAAATCTGGTATGCCAAAGTCACTAGACAAATCCTTAAACCCAGGGAAGAGTATAACCATTTCTACTGGGATCTAATCAAATGAAGGAGGGAATTATACTAGAATAAGAATTTTAGCAGCTCTTGATTGGGAAGAATTGATCAGAAGAGAAAAGTATAATATAGAAGAGGAAAGTCATTTAGAAGAATAAGTTGAGTTAGTAAATTCAGGAGAAACTTGCAAGCCAGCCAGATTTGTGAAGTGAATCAGACCTTGTCAAGGCAGAGAGATACAACAAAAAGAGAAAATAAGCAGAACTGTGGAATGGTTTGGATTCTTTTCTTTTAACCCCAAGACTGAGCGTACTCAAGTACACAGAAGGAATCTAACCATTAGAGCTAAGGTCTTGGGCAAAACAGTCTACAACATATTCCACTCCTGATTGCTCTGACACTTTCTACTTTCTCACCAGCCAGGCACAAGGGTTCCAATCTCTCCACATCCTTGCCAACAATTGTTATTTTCCATTAAAATTTAATTATTTCAATTTTTAAATGCCATACTATGCAAGCAACAAAAGCAAAAATAAATAAGTTGCAAAATATCAAACTAAAAAGGTTCTGTACAGCAAAAGAAACAATCAATAAAACGAAAAGACAACCTACAGAATAGGAGAAAATATTTTCAAATCATCCTATCTAATAATAGAGAAACATGGTAATTAACTGTAACTTTGCTACCCTTCCCATTGGCTAATCAGCGAGATATGCAAATTAACCGCCAACCAAGATGGCGGCCAGCAGCCACACAGCTGAAGCAAACATGAGGCTTGCTTGCTCCAGTGACGGAGGAAGCCAAGGTTCCCCACCTGCCGCAGCCCAGCTCTGAGCTCCAGATGCAACAATGTTGCAATTATAGAAGCTAAACAATCCCCAGAAACCTGCTTTCAGCCGCCAGCGGGCTCAGAGCTTAGAGCGCCAGTGATGACAACAGAGTTTCAATTATAGAAGCTAAACAAACCCCAGATCCCCGCTTTCAGCCAGCCACAGCCTCAGAGCTGGAGCCGGCTCTCAGCTCCAGTGACAGCTATAGAAGGTAAATAAATCCCAGAATAAAAAAAAAGAAAAAAAAAAGAGGCTGGGGGCTTCAGTCACCCGCCAGCCTGAAAACAGCCCTCAGCCCCTCACCCAGACTGGCCAGGCACCCCAGTGGGGACCCCCACCCTGAAGGGGGTGTGACCATCTGCAAACAGCCATCAGCCCGTCATCCAGGCTGGCCAGGCACCCAAGTGGGACCCCCACCCTGATCCAGGACACCCTTCAGGGCAAACCAGCCAGCCCCCACCCGTGCACCAGGCCTCTATCCTATATAGTAAAAGGGTAATATGCAAACTGACCCTAACAGCAGAAAGACTGGGAATAACTGGTCACTATGACACACACTGACCACCAGGGGGCAGACGCTCAATGCAGGAGCTGCCCTCTGGTGGTCAGTCGCTCTCACAGCGGGGAGCTCTGCTCAGCCACAAGCCAGGCTGATGGCTGCCAGTACAGCGGTGGTGGTGGGAGCCTCTCCTGCCTCCTCAGCAGCGCTAAGGATGTCCGACTGCAGCTTAGGTCTGCTCCCTGCTGGCAAGTGGGCATCCCCTGAGGGCTGCCGGGCTGCCAGAAGGATGTCTGATTGCCAGCTTAGGCCCAATCCCCTGGGGAGCAGGCCTAAGCCAGCAAGTGGTCACCCCCGAGGGGTCCCAGACTGCGAGAGGGCACAGGCCGGGCTGAGGGATCCCCTACCCCCGAGTGCACAAATTTTTGTGCACCGGGCCTCTAGTCTACACTAATAAAAGAGAAAGATGCAAATTGACCATACCTTCACAACACCCACCAGCCAATCAGGAGTGAGTATGCAAATTAACCCAACAAACATGGCGGGTTAATTTGCATACACAGGTGCTGAGTGGCTGGGGCAGGGCAGGACAACAACGCAGGCGTTCCGCACTGCCCCAGCCACTCCAGGCCTCTGGGCAGCGTGGGAAGGTGGAAAGGCGACTCCGGGCCAGAACAAAGGCAGAAAGGCAGTTCCTGGCTGGAGCGAAGGTGGAAAGGTGGCTCTGGCCAGCCGGAGCGAAGGTGGTGCTGGCAGCCAGGGGAAGTAAGGCCCATTCTTGCACAAATCTTTGTGCATCGGGCCTCTAGTATATCTAATAAGGGGTTTAATATCCAAAAAAATATAAGGAATGTATACAACTTAATAGCAAAAAAATAATCTGATTAAAAATGGGCCGAAGAACGAAATAGACATTTTTCCAAAGACATGAAAATGACCAAATGGTGATTAAAAGATATTCCATATCACTAATCAGGGAAATGCAAATCAAAACCACAATGAGATATCACCTCAGATCTGTTCAAACAGCCATCATATAAAAGACAAGTTTTGGTGAAGTTGTGGAGGAAAGGGAACCCTTTTGCACTGTTGATGGTAATGTAAATTGGTATAGTCACTATGGAAAACAGATTGAGGTTTCTAAAAAAACTAAAAATAGAAGTACCCATATGATCCAGTAATTCCACTTCTGGGTATATATCCAAAATCACTATTTCAAAGAAATATCTGTGCTTCCATGTTAACTACATAATTATTCACAATAGTCAAGACATGGAAACAGCCCAAGTATCCATCAACAGATGAATGGATAAAGAAGATGCCATGTTACTATTTGCAACAACATGGATGGATTGTGAAGGCATTATATTAAGTGAAATAAGTCAGACAGAGAAAGACAAATACTGTACAGTCTCACTTATATGTGGAATTTAAAAAAGGCAAACTCATGAAAACAGAGTGTATAATGGTGGTTGCCAGGAGCTAGGGGTAGGGAAAATGGAGAGATGTTGGTCAAAGGGTACAAAATCCTATATAATAAAAAGCTAATATGCAAATTGTCTCCTTGGACATTCGATCGACCGGGAGTTTGACCACTCGCTATGATGTGTGCTGACCACCAGGGGGTGTCAAGAAACGAAGGAAGGCCCTGGCCAGTAGCCGTCAGCTGGGGGAAGGAAGGCCCTGATTGGTCCTGATTGCCGGCCAGGCCTAAGGACCCTACCTGTGCACGAATTTTGTGCACCAGGCCTCTAGTTTCATTATAAGATGAATAAATTCTGGGGATCTAATGTGCAGCATAGTGACTATAGTTAACAATACTGTATTATACACTTGAAAGTTGCTAAGATCTTAAATGTTCTTACAACGAAAAAGATATAGTAATTATGGGAGGCGATGGAGGTGTTAATATTACTATGGGAATAATTTCACAATATATAAGTATATCAAATCAACATGTTGTACATCTTAAATTTATACAGTGTTATAAGTCAGTTATATCTTAATAAACCTGAGCAATTTGTCACCATACTAGCAAGTGTGAAGGTGATATCTCATGGTTTTAGAACAACCAGTGTTTAACTGTATATATGTCATACTACCGGGAAACTTGAAACCAAGTTGTTAGCCTAAATAAGAAAATTATTATACTTTTACCTGTCTTCATAGCTTCTTTTTCCATTCCCTCCTTGTATGTATACAAGAGTTCATCAACTTCATTCAGATCTAGGAAGCCTGAGCCATCACTGTCCCACAACTGAAAGAGGGCTTCTAGGAGAAGTCCCCGTCGAATTTGGGAAGTGTTTTGTATAGCCTAGGATACAAACCAGATAACAAAGCACAGAAGACTTGCTGTTTATTCTACTAGCTGGCATCCTATGTTTATTCCCAAAAAAGTGCAGCACTTTTTTATAAAAACAGCTTTACTTTGGGACTAAGCATGATATTAATGGGAAAATGAATCATTTAATTTTAATCCTCTCACTACCACTTCTCTGTTTCTGCATTGGATTAAAACCCATTAATATAGAAAGAAGACTACACTCCTTAAGAATCTTTAATTCATTCCTTTCCACTCCCTCGCTGCTTGTTCAGGAATATGATAAACACATGGGGTACTCTGCCTGGCTTCTTGGTGGCATTTGTTTTGTAGTGAAGGGGCATAAATGGCAGTGTTCAAACAATAAAAAATGACTGCGTTCAAAAATATTTTTTGTATTTAACATTGACCTAACTTGGCATTAGAGATTTAGAGATAAGTTATATGCTGTGAAATGCTGTGCCATGCAAGGTGTGGTCTGTAAGCTGGTACAAGTCTGTGGTGAGAAGTATACATAAACTGAAAATAGCATCTAGCAAATTTGAGAAAGTAACAGATGCTAAATCAGAGTTGAATCTGACAATAAAAATATGAGTTGTATTTTGTATGTCCTTTTCCCCCCTTAGTAATCCATTTTCATTGAGTACCATTCCACAGCAGATTGGAAATTAAAAACATCACCATTAACAACAAACTAAAAACTGGTCCTTTACAACAAATAGTTTAAGAAACATGGCTTTAAGGGTCTTACCCTACCTTCCCACAGTCACAATGTAGGAAGAGTTCAACAAACATCTGCCTCCGCATATACTTTTTATTAGATTAATTATATCAATTTGACAGTAATTTAATATCTAGATATATTTAATTTCTGAAACAAAGTGAATATATACCTTTTGGTTAAATGGGAGAACTGCAGTTGAGGCAAAAGGGATATCACCTCTAGAATTAAGTTGAGAAGATTCATAAGGCTGCTGAGATTACTGTGTATGCCTGGTGAATCTAATTTACATATTTCATATACGAGTACATAAATTGTTTATATCAGCTAATGTGTATGCATTTACCTACACCTAAATAAGTAGTAAGTTCTTACAAAATATGTACTACCTGATGCAGTGCACATGAATAAAAATATATATTCAAGCTGTAATTGAACCCTAGGTATGTGCATTTGTAAATGCACTCACACAGATACACATGCATGCGATATCTTTGTTATATCTTTGTTCATACACATATTTGCTCCATTAAGTCTGCTATTCAAGCTTCAGTGAAAAAAAACACAAAGCTGTCTAATAAACCATCTCCTGCCATCATCAATCATGATATTATTAAGGGAATGAGTTCTCTGGAGTGTGAACTCATTTTATTTGACAATAAAATAAAATATTTAATGGCCATGATTGTTGAAATAGTGACACGTTTAGTTGTAAATTTTTAAAGAAGAGCCACACTAGGAACTACTGAGGTTGACAAATTTAATAATAGTGCCCTCACTTGTTTCATTGATAAACAATATTACTCACCTCTTCCAAGTCCCTCATTTTCTCTTCTTTTGTTTCAGCATAGCCCCACTTGAAAAAGGAGGTGAGGGTCTCACTGGCACTCAAGGGGGCATCTTCACCAACAAATGTCTCTAGGAATTGCACAAACTGGAGCAGATTAAGGGAAACTCCATTGAAGGCACTCCTTCCTTTCACTTCTTTGTAAGACTGAATATTTCTGATAATTGAATGTAGGTCTATAAAGCAGAAAACATACAGTAAAATGGACAATTTTCTCAAAGATTAAGGAAAATATATGAGTATGTATTATAATGGACATCTGCTACTATTTTCCTGACAGAAATCCATGCCCCCTTCATGAGGACAGCACCATTTCTTTTTTATTTGACAAAAAATCTCTTCCCAGTAAGATAGTTAAGTCAAGTGGTACTTAACCTCCCCCAACCATTCCCTAAGGATTACCATGTGACATAGGTCTGGCCAATGATCTATGTATAACAGCAATGTAATCTACTATAGACCAATGAGAATTTAAACCCAGAACTTTTGGGGGAACAATTGGGAGAAGGACCCCTCTTTTTGTACTCTTGATTCCTGAACTGGTAGGATGTAGGCTTAGAGATACTCTCATGGACATCTTTGTCATAATATGGAAAAAACAACCTAGAACTGAAAGTCATACACAGAGAACAGGGCTGAGAGGCAGAAAGACAGTGCCCTGCTGCTATTGTTGAGGCCTTGGATTCAATTGTGCCTGAAGCCAGCTGCAATCTGGACTTGCCAGTTAAATAAGTCTGTAAATACCACCATTACAACCCCTCCCCCAACGGGTCTTTACTATATTTATCATGAAGCTCAATGTTCTAACATGAGGCACATTTCATAAAATTTTAACCCAGTGCCTTATGTTTAATTTATTCATTGAGTTAATCATTCATGCCCTTATGACTTCCATAAGAGATTTGACATAACTTAAAAATACTCATTCATGCAGTTTATTTTCCAAATAGTAAAGCAAAATTGAAATAAAGAAGACAAGGAGAAGAAGAACATGAACTAGCAGACTATAAGAGCTTGACTAATGCCATATATTTCCACCAAAATATTTTGAGGATAAAAAGTTTATTATTTGACCCAGACTTAAATTTTTTAAATTCAGATAGGAAGAAAATAATCTTTCAGCGTCTAGTAGCTGTCTTAGGTTCCCATAGTTGTTGTTGTTGTTGTTTTCATGAATACAGACAATAGGGTGGTGAAGGCCTAGGGTAAGGTAGGAACTGGGTGGTGGGGAGCAAGGAGGACATCTGTAATGCTCTCAACAATAAAGATAAAAAGAAAGAAAATAATGCTGATCTAATTAGTTCTACTACATGTTGATGAAAGGTAAAAATGATAAAATAGCACTGTAGTAAAATATGAGTACTTGTTGGAACACTCACTGTTAAATAACAGCTACTCTTTGCTCTCTCTGTTGAGTAGATCTTTCTTTGTAAGTCTTCAAAAACAATCTATATTCTCACCTGTTTCACATGTTTGGATGTGAAACTACCAGGGAGAGAAAAGCTGAAATTATTTCTATTGAGTAGTAATATCTAATATCTGATTCCTTTTGTATACCTAGATCATAGCTTAAAAGCAGCTGTTGGGCCATTTAATGATTTAAAAAACTGTATACTAATGCATTTGTTTTTAAGCAGAAGAACATTCATCAATAGCACATGCCTACTACCGCTAAAACATTCATCTTGTAAATCTTTATTTTGTTAAAAATATTTTTATTGGTTTCAGAAAAGAAGGAAGAAGGAGAGATAGAAACATCAGTGATGAGAGAGAATTATTGATCCTACATGCCCCACACTGAGGATCAACCCTGCAACCCAGGCATATGCCCTGATTGGAATTGAACCGTGACCTCCTGGTTCAAAGGTCGACACTCAACCACTGAGCCACGCCGGCCGGGCCATCTTGTAAATAATTAGATCCATCAGCTCAGGGACAAAACAATGCAGGTTCACCTGGTGTTGTGTCTTGTCTAAGTCCAGTCTTTATCATGGGGTACCACAATAAGTTAAATTCATCAATCAGACTGAGATCTATTCTTTCTAATTTTGTTGTTGATATGTACCTGTGAATCTGGAGTTACCATAGATTAATTTTGCCTGTTCCTCATCTTCGCATTTTACATACTTCTTCAAGTCACAAGTCAAAAGTTCACCTATAAAATAAACATTCCACATGACATAGGCAATTTAACTCCACTGTCACAGTGTTTTTGTTCTACATGAAAGGAGGGTTAAGTGAGTTACCTGGCCATGGCTTTCCTTCTATTTTTTGGGACTTGGGTTCACAGGCTTTGTCTTTCTCAACTTTCTTCTTTGCAGTTTCTAAAAGGTCCAAAAGAAAATGCCTATGAGTTGGACATTACATATTCTTAAGTTAATGAATAAGCGAAATGCCTTGCATATAGACCACCAAAAACTTTCTTTCAGGTACTTTCGCATATATGCTGTGTCATAATCAACCACAGTGATAGAACTTAATAACTCTAGTTGTTGAGAGCAGCTCTTTGACAAAAGCTATTTATTTACCCCAATTTGGCCACGCAAAATGAGGCCTACATTTCCTAGCCTCCCTCACTATATCCCTATATACTGACCAATGATATGTTCAGGGAAGTGATGTGATGCTTATCATTTTCCTTTCTCCTCACCTGCTGGTCAGAATGTAGACATGGCAGTGAACCATCTTGGTCCCATGTGGTTGGAGGAGACACGAAATAGAAGGAGCTTGAGCCACTGCTGATTTCATGGGACTGAGCTGTCATAGAACTTTTGACTTTCATGTGAGAAAGAAAGATACCCCTTTCTTGTTTAGACACTTATTTGTTTTGTTTTTCCGACACTCATTTTGGAACACTGTTACACATAGCCAAAATTAAGACCTCACTAACATAACATCTGGTTGAATAGTAACCTCACTACTTTTTAAATGCTACATCCCTATGTAAGGAGAGCCAGAAATTAATAGCTCTGTTTTATGGAGAAATAAACATAATACTAAAAAAAAAGATTTCAAATTAGTTGATGATAGTGTAGAATCTAAAACACAAATTACCCATTTTTTACAAGTTTTCTTTGGGACTGTAGAATTAAAGAGCAGAATTAAAAAAAAAATTATGCCTAACTGAGGTCTTCAGTGGTATTGAGACTGGCTTTTTAAAAGGTTAGAATTTTTTTTAAAAGAAAAGGTCATAAATTGGCAATTCAGAGGAAAAATGTCTTCTGCAGAATAAAATTTGAACTGCAGGGTGCCCTTTGTCTTAAATATGGCTTTCAGAAACTTTTCTAGAAATATATCTTATATACAACTGAAAAATCAAGATCCATTTTATAGGTGAAATAAAAGAAAAATTTTAAAGTGGTTTCTAATATCAGACCCCACATTTAAAACAAAATGGCTTCTACCGCCTTTTCAGAGATCCAACGTAAATTTCTATGTGCAACATTACCAGATTTCTTCCTTACAAGTGGATTTCTAGTTTTGCTCAGTGGATAGAGCAGACTGAAAGGTCCCAGGTTTGATTCCAAACTAGGACACAGACACATACCTTGTTGCAGGCTTGATCCCCAACCCTTGCCGGGGCGCATGCAGGAGGCAACCAATCTATGTGTCTCTGTCACATCATGTTTCTCTCACTCTGTCTCTGCCCCCTCCCATCCACTTTCTAAAAAAAACCCCACAAGAATTCTAGGTAAATGGATAATAGAGTCTTATTTTTATTTATTTTTAATTTTAATTTTTATTGATTAAGGTATTATATATGTCTGATAATAGAGTCTTTATGGTTTGCATTTAATTGATTGGTCAAGGTCTAGACTCATGCTGAGTAGCAAAATATGTCTGAGATTTGCATGATCTGATATATCAGAAAAGATCCCAATTGAAATGAGTATTTTCTGAAGACTTTAAAAACCACTCCACAGCCTGCCCAGTGTGGCTCAGTGATTGAGCATAGACCTATGAACCAGGAGGTCATGGTTCTATCCCAGTCAGGGCACATGCCCAGGTTGCAGGCTCGATCCCCAGTGGGCTCGATCCCCAGCGTGGGGCATGCAGAAGGCAGCAGATCAATGATTCTCATCATTGATGTTTCTCTCTCTCTCTTCCTCTCTGAAATCAATAAAAATATATTTTAAAAAATAAAAACCACTCCACAACACAGAGAACTGATTATCTTTTCTACTTCATACGAATCTTTTTCTTGCAGTTCAGAAATCATGAATAGTTTCCCTTCATATATTTGCTCCTGAGTATTCTCTTCTTGTGGAAGGATTTCAGTGTGCACAAAGGAAGTAACCTCCCTAGATGTTTTCACTTTCTTTTAAGATATTACCTTCCCTTGATTGTGAAGTTGAGGCTATGTCCTGTTCCTCTGGAATGGTCTCTCTGAGTGATTCTAGTTCTTCAGTGGACGCTTTATGCGGTTCTGTTAATGACATTCTGGGTGACTCTCTGCGTGACCCTTTTGGTGTCAGTGACTGTGCTTCTTCTGCAGTTGACCCTCTTTGCAGTCCTGGTTCTGCTACGGACTCTCTGGATGATTCTTGTCTTTCAGCGAGCCATTTATATGGCTCTTCTATTACCGACATTCTGCGTGATCCTTTGCGTGATCCTCTTCGTGTTACTGTCTCTTTAAGAGATTCTTCATCACTTGACCCTCTTTGTGATCCTGGTTCTGCTACTGACTCTCCGGGTGATTCTAGTCTTTCAGTGGGGAATTTATATGGTTCTATTACTGACATTCTGCGTGATCCTCTGCGTGATCCTCTTCTTGACTCTCTCAACCCTTCTTCTGCAATTGCCCCTCTCTGCACTCCTTGTTCTGCTTCTGACTCTCTGCTGGATCCTTCTATTCCCGACTCTCTGAGCGATTCTTCTTCTACAATTGCCTCTCTAGGTACTCCTTGTTCTGCTACTGGCTCTCTGCTTGGCTCTTCTTTTGATCCTTTCTGTGGTTCTTCTATTACTGACATTCTGCGTGATCCTCTGCGTGATCCTCGTTCTGCAGTTGAATCTTTTTGTGGTTCTTCTATTAATGACATTCTGCGTGACCCTCTGCGTGATCCTGGTCGCACTGTTGCCCCTTTCGGCTGTCCTTGTGCTGTTATTGACTCTGAGTTTAGATCTTCATTTAAAATTTTGTTTGGGTCTTGTCCTGCAATTGTTTCCCTCTGCTGTTCTGGTAGGCTCGGCAATAGTGTTGATTTTTTATATTTATCATATTTATGTAGCTCTTCTGGTTTTTTGAGCAATTTACTTTGTTTTGTGCTAGCATTTTTTTCAGACAGTGATGTATTCATCTCTAAGAACACATTGTCAAAGTCTTCATAAATGTGTTTCTGATTATCCTTGTCTCCCCAGAACTCAGGCAGCTCTATCTCTTCAAATTCAAGGAGTGGCCCTAATGCAAAAGAACAAAGCATTTACCTAAACAATTGATTTTATAATACAGAATCAGAACTAGTAAGTTAATGCAAAAAAGCATTGAGCACAGTGATTATAATATAGGCCTATTACTTTAAATAAATATCAGTTACCTTTTCCTGCAACACAATAAAAACCAAAAAGGTATCCAATTGAACATAAAAGATGCTCACTACTATAAATTAGAAAGTATCCCTTCCTAAAAGTTGTGGTTTGAAAATGAATCTGATTCCTCTTTTGCTAGTTGGAGGGTTGCTTAAACTGCCAAGACAAATACAACTTATTCTCTACCTTCAGTCCTCCCACAATGAGGCTAGCATGGAATGAGGAAGGGGACACATGTCTTCCACCTCAAATGCCTTTTCAATATCTGCAATATCAAAAGAAAAGCATGTCTCTATCCATGACAATTTTTCACTGTGCTATTTTTTCCAATATTCATTTTCTCTCCTTTCCCTTTTTCTCTACCTTTCTTTCTTCCTTCCTTGATTCTTTTCCTCAACAACTTATGTGGATACTTGGCTCAGAATTCTAGGGAAAGATTGAATAGCATTCAGCAGAATCCCACTGTTAAAAAAGAACACCACACCAAAACAACACTGGTGACCTGGACTACAAAGAGTGGGACCATGCCAAAGATTGCCTCTCCCTTCTAAAACATTCAATATTTAAGCTATAAAATTGTGACTCCCATGGGTTTAAGGGAATACTCTACGTACATCATCCACAGATTTTTAAGTATCCAAGTTAGAAATTATCATACAGAAATAAGATACTGACATTCTTTGGAAAACCCATCCATTCAATGACTTTCTCTTTAAAAAATAAAAATAAAACTGCTACTCCTATTTGTTTTGGTTGGTAATATAAAAATTTCACTGTATATGTACAATAAAGTTGTACAAGTAAAAATGCTTGAGAGAAGGGGACATTTTTCTTCAAAATCTTAGAATTCTAAATTGGACATTAGAACTGGAATTACCATTACCAACTAAATTTCTGCAACATTCAGATTGTTACTAAAACATTTCTTCATTTGAATGCATTTAAAATTGAGTTCTGGATTGACAACTTTTAGTACTGCACTGTAGTGAAAAATACATCTAGTCGTGATAAAGAGTGAATTTTGTAGGGAAGAACAACTAGATATAGCTATCATGATCTAAGAGAGACATGTGAAGAAATTGCACAGGGATAGAATGGCCTTGTATTATCATACTAGAGGCCCAGTGCACAGATTCGTGCACTGGTGGGGTCCCTCGGCCTGGCCTGCGGGGATTGGGCTGAAACCAACTCTCTGACATCCCCCGAGGGGTCCCGGATTGCAAGAGGGCAGTTCTTGGGTGACACACCCTGGAATCCGGCTTCCTGCTCTCTGCCGAGAACTGTAGCTGCCAAGTCACCAAAGCTTAGCAGCTCCTGCATTGAGTTTGCCCCCTGGTGGTCATTGTGCATCATAGCTACCGGCTAGTTGGCCAATCACTTAGGCTTTTATATATATAGATTAGTGTACTTCATCATTTCAGTTTGAGCATACTCCCTTTGAGTGGCACTTACATTGTCTTGGGTTTCGGAGTAAACGTCTAAGCATTGTTGGACTTTGGTCATAGAATGTTTCCAGCAAGGCCAATGTCCTCTGCCGATTCAAAAACCCTACCTAAGCAGAAAGTTGGCAATTAGGTGTTATAAGAGATTTTTATGTAGACAGAATATGGCTTATTGAAACATTCATCACTACTATCACCACCATCGTCATATAAATAAAATCTGCAAAGTCAAAGTTGGGAAAGCTATACCTTACCTCTTTAGGCTTATACTCTATTTCCCATTTTGTGACATGTCAAAATGCCTTTCACTTAACAGATGCTTAACAAATATTTGTTACTGACATAATTGTTTAATCCAATGTATAATGTTCAATTCTCATCTAATCTGATCTAAGTATGACACTTAGGACAATTAACTGCTCCCTACTTGTTCTTTTTTCACATTTTTATTTTGGGAAAAAGTTAATTACAGAAAAAATAAGAAAATGATAAAACTAACACTTTGTATTCCCTGCATCCAGAAATGATGATTGTTAACATTTTTTGTATGTACTTTTAAAATCTATAACTGAGCCTTGGCTGGTGTTGCTCAGTGGTTAAAGCATTGGCCTGCAGACCAAAGGGTTGCAGATTCTATCCCTGGCCCCCAGAGCATATGCAGGAGGCAACCAATCGATGTGTTTCTCTCACATCAATGTTTCTCTCCCTCATTCCCTTTTACTCTCTCTAAAAAACAATGGAAAAATGTCCTTGGGGGAGGATTAACAAACAAAACAAAACCAACCAACCAACCAAACAAACAAAAAAATATATATAACTGATATCATAGTACATGTATCCTTTTTTACATTAAAAAAATTTTTTATAAAGAGTTAATTTGAGCCAAACTGATGCCATGCTAGGAAACAAGATCTCAAATGCTCCCCCGCTTAAAAAAAACCTTTTTATAAGCATTTCAATTATCCTTAAAATTGCTTTTATTTATACAACATTGAGGTCTGATTCATGTATATAAAGAAATATTATTTTATTTATTTTAACTGTATGGTATTCTATAATATGAAAACCGCAATTTAAAAAAATCCTTCTTTTGATGGGCATTTAGATTATTTCCAGTATTTTGATACCAAAAATAATGTGTATAATGGATGTCCTTATACACATCTCCTGTGTACATGTATAAACATTTCCCTAGGGTAAATAAATAGAAAGACAATTAATGAATTGTATACTATGTGCATTATCTTTTCTTTTTACTTTTTATTTATTGGTTTTAGAGAGAGAAAGGAAGTGGGAGAAGGGGGGGAGAGAAAGAAACATTAATTTGTTGTTCCACTTATTTATGCCTTCATTGGCTGATGCTTATATGTGCCCTGACCAGGGATCAAACCCACAACCTTGGCATATCAGGACAATGCTCTAACCGGCCAGGGTGTCTTCTTGGAGGTACACACAGAACTTTTACTGCCACCTTTGCACACCCACTCCCCTTCACACACAGGTATTTGGGAATACTCATCACCTTTCCTCTAGCCACAGGAGTGGGACTAACCTCAGGCCCACCTACCTAGACTCTTCTGCAGCACTTACCCTCCCTCTTTAGTATCATGTTGGGTTCAGGACTTCTCTATGAAGCTTGCGGTCTCTGAGCTAAACCCAGGAAAAGAAGCATAAGCCCTGCTGCTCTTAAATTTCTCCTCAACCTACTTAGAATTTCTAAGTGTCTATAATATTACCTTCAGCCCTGATTGGGGCTCGAGGGTGGGGGATCAGATACCAACTCTGACTTAGGGACCCAGACAACCTCAAACCCCTAGTCACATCCCCTCTACTACCTCCTCCTTCCATCAGCTGGTCACAGTTTCCCAGTGATAGAAAAAGTGCTTTGATGTCATATTTTGCATTCTTCCTTACTCTGACTCTTTTTTTTTTTCAGGAGCCCAGGATTTTCAAGTGAAAGTACAGGCTTTTGAACTCTTGTCTCAGCTATTGGTTAAAAATATTCAGAAACTGCTTTATTCTAAACTGTATCTATCTTACCTACAAGATCAGCACATAACTTCTATTTGAATACTGGGAAGAAATGCAAGAGTTCATGTCTCTAAATATGATCCTGCTATGTTTGTTATAGCACATGAATTGGTATTAAATTAGCCAACTATGAATAGTTGGTATCCAGGCATTTATTGGAGAGTAAAATCTTGACCTCCATGTCACCAATACTTATTATAAGTTCCGTTAAAAGAAACAATATTCAACAGGACACATAGACATTTCAGATTTTATAAAATATACTAGAGGCCCAATGAGTGAAATTCGTGCAAAAGTAGACCTTCCTTCCCCCTGCTGCCAGCACTGGCTTCCCTCTGGCACACAGGACCCGGGCTTCCCTCCGGCCGCTGGCAGGTGCCCAGGACCTGGGCTTCCCTTGCAGCCCCGGCTTCGTCCAGAAGGTTGTCTGGAAGGACATCCGGTCTAATTAGTATATTACACTTTTATTATTATAGATTAGTGGCCTGGTGCATAGATCCATGCACTGGGGGGGGGGGGGGTCCCTCGGTCTGGCTTGCACCCTCTCACAATCCGGGACCCCTTAGGGGATGTTGGACTGCTGGTTTCGGTCAGATCCTTGCAGGCCAGGCTGAGGAACCCCACTGGTACACAACTCCATGCACCGGGCCTCTAGTATGCATATAAGATCTTTGGTTAATCTCGTCGCACCCTCCCGCCTCCCCCCTTCCCTCTGAGATTCATCAGTCTGTTCCATGTTTCCATGCCTGTGCGTTGAGTGTCTGCCCCTGGTGGTCAGTGCGCATCATAGCTACCAAACAGTCGCTTAGGCTTTTATATGTATAGATTTCTGCCCAGCCGGGTATGGCTCAGTTGTTGAAGTCAACCCAGGAACCAAGAGGTCACCGGTTCGATTCCCGGTCAGGGCGTATGCCCAGTTGCAAGCTCAATCCCCAGTGTGGGGTGTGCAGGAGGCAGCCAATCAAAGATTCTCTCTCATCATTGATGATGTTTCTATCTCTCTCCCTCTCCCTTCCTCTATGAAATCAATAAAAATATATTTTAATATATATATTCCTGACCTAAGCCAAATTATCAGGGATCTGAGAACCTAGACTGCAATATATTGGCTCCTTCAAGACTTGCTTTTTCTGAATTGCAGTCAGGTGTGGTATCATTTACCTACACTTAAGGTGGTTATAAGAAATTTCCCCAAGAAAATCATTGTTTCATTTATTATATGTCTGGCATAATGGACCTTCACTTCAACACATAAGGTCCCTTTGTGAGTACTTGTGGGAGGAACTGCTGACTCTGAACCCCAATTTTCTGTACTTCTTCTTAATATCAGTTTGCATTTATCTTAAACACGCCGATAAAATGTTTGCTCACATTTCCTTTTTCACTGCTAGGAAGCTTAGATTCAAACTTGTAGGCAACCTAGAACAAATATTTATGCCAGTAAAATATGCATTTGGGGCTTTATTCGTAGCTTCAGTTACTGTCATCTCTCTTATTTTTTACTTCTTTCATCCTACTTTTAATATGTGTTCCTTTGTTGCAATCTTTTCTGGAACATGGGGATACAAACAAAGTTCATAAACAAATATATATCAGTAAAATTAGTATCTATTTTGCAAATCCATTTGGTATCCTAGTACACCAATATCCTCCCAAGTACCACTCTTAGAAATACTTCTTGATATAAACTTTTCTTTTAAAGAAGTAATATAATAAGATGTAGTAGACTCCCTATTCCCAGCAGCGTTTTTTTGATAAAAAGCCACCAGAAAAGAAAGTAAGCAAAAACAATCTTAAGCAACCATTCTTAAGAATGGGAAAGAGATTTATAAGTTATATGCTGTGAAATGCTGTGCCATGCAAGGTGTGGTCTGTAAGCTGGTACAAGTCTGTGGTGAGAAGTATACATAAACTGAAAATAGCATCTAGCAAATTTGAGAAAGTAACAGATGCTAAATCAGAGTTGAATCTGACAATAAAAATATGAGTTGTATTTTGTATGTCCTTTTCCCCCCTTAGTAATCCATTTTCATTGAGTACCATTCCACAGCAGATTGGAAATTAAAAACATCACCATTAACAACAAACTAAAAACTGGTCCTTTACAACAAATAGTTTAAGAAACATGGCTTTAAGGGTCTTACCCTACCTTCCCACAGTCACAATGCAGGAAGACTTCAACAAACATCTGCCTCCGCATATCCGTTTTTATGACCTCCCGGAATTCATCTGCACTGTGGCAAAGGTGCTTAAGGAGTTCTTCAAATATTTCACTTTTCAAGTCTGCAATGTGCGCAGAGATGTACTGCAGAGAGAAAGAGGAAAAGTGATCGATTTAAAACTGTGCTCTTTCCTTGGGTTTTTCTTAGGATTCAGTTGAAGTGCATGCAATTAATGGCTGCCATTTCCCCCATCTCATTTGCTTGTCATTTAGATAAAGCATTTCATGTTAGTGCTAGTCTACAGGCTGTGCAGCAGAGAGAGCTGATCAATACAGTCCCCAACACCACACAACAGTGGGACTAGATATTTTGGAAGCAATTTCCCTTTAGCTCACATCAGTGAAAGGGCGAGGGCTATGCCCTCCATCTTGCCCATATCCTCCATGTTGGAGCAGCAGCCATGTGCTACCTTCTTCCTGGAAGCCCAGGCCTCTGCTGGCCACGCCTGGGATTTTAAACTAACCAATGACAATCAAAGGACGTGCGAGCCATATAGATGACCACATCCTGTGTAACAAGACCCGACTTGCGCCTGGCCAATTGGCAGAGCCCACAGTCAGTCCACTCCCCTCACTCCACCCCCCTATTAAAGCCCTGAGTTTCCCATGCCATCGCACTCTGCTTCCGGTCGCTGCGTCGGCCGGGAGAGGGAGTCAAGCTAGCTAGCTCAATAAAGGACCTTCTGCTTTTGCATCAGACTGGCTGGCTCCTGGTGTGGTCTTTTGGGGATCTTGAGATCTGGGCATAACAATCAGCACTATATAGGACACAATTTTTACCTTACTGTTTGAAATAGCAGCAGTCATAGAATGTTGCCTGTAAATTACTAGCTCTAAAAATTGAATGCAGCTTTTCTTTTGATGTATGGCATATAAGAGTGTCTGTTTTCCAAGACTGACTACATTTAATTATTAGAGTGTAAGGGATGGAGATTGTAGGTGGGGTGTTTGTTTGTTTTGTTTTGTTTTGATATTGCAATAAGGTATTCTTTGTCTGTGATTTTCTGTTTCTTTTGAAAGTGTAGAGTCTGAAACATCTATGATACTGGGCCATTTTAAATATATATATAAATTTCCAGTCCAGGGACAAATGCCCCTTTCTTATCATGTTCAATTTAAACACTAAATTCTTAGCAAGATGGAAAATGATGCAGATATAAAAGTTGAAGGATCAATATTTGGTGTTCGGGTAACCAGTCCATGGTTGACTTGTTTTGAGATTATATAGACCCAGCTTAAATGTAGTGGGCACATTGTTTTATCTTGAGGAATCCACATTTCTACCACCACTATTTCAAACTCATATGATCTTGAGCCATTTTTTTTGTTCATAATAGTTATTTATTTTATTATTAAAATTCTGGGTTGTCATTGGTTAATAGGATCATGTAGGTTTCAGGTGTGGATTTCTATGTTAAAAAGTCTGTATATTACACCATGTGCCCACCACCCAAAGGCAAATCATCTTGCATCACCATCTATTAGGCCCCTTTCACCCCACCGCCACCCTCTTCCCTCTGGCAACCACCACACTGCTGTTTGTGTCCACGAGGTTCAGTTTTTATATTCCACATATGAATGAAATCATACGGTTCTTAGCTTTTTCTGCGTGACTTATTTCACTTAACAAAATATTCTCAAGGTCCATCCATGTTGTTGCAAATGGCACTATTTTGTCTTTTCTTATGGCTGAGTAGTATTCCATTGTGTATATGTACCACATCTGCTTTATTTAATCTTCTATTGAAGGACATCTTGGTTGTCTCCATGTCTTGGCCACAATGAATAATGTTGCAGTGAACATAGGGGTGCATAGATCTTTTCGAGTACATGCTTTCGAGTTCTTCAGGTATATACCCAGGAGAGGGATTGCTGGGTCAAATGGTAGCTCTAATTTTTGAGGAATTGCCAGACTACTTTTCCACGGTGGCTATACCAGTCTACATTCCCACTCGAAGTTCCCTTTTCTCTACAACCTTTCCAACACTTGTTATTACTTGTCTTGTTGATAATAACTCTTCCAACAGGTATGAGGTGGTATCTCGTTGTAGTTTTGAATTGTATTTCCCTAATTGCTAGTGAGATTGAATATCTTTTCATATATCTGCTGGCTGTTTGTGTGTCTTCTTGGGAGAGGTGTCTGTTCAGGTCCTCTGACCTGGGCCATTTTTCTTAATGCCTGTTGAATAGATTCCTGGAAGTGGGATTGCTAACTTAGAAGGTAAATGCATCTGTATTTTTGGTAGGTTTTCATGTTGGTCAGGCTTGTAACTACCCTTTTGTGCTCCCACCACTAACAGATGAGTAACTATTTCTCCTCAGCCTCACCATTAGTGTGTATTGCCTTCCAGATCTTTGCTAATTTGATGGGTCAAGAACATTACATTCTTGATCTACACCTGAGTGTAATATCTCGTGATAGAGAGAAATGGAGTAAGCACTGGAAGAGTTTCTGACTGGACTCCTCTTGAAGTTTTAGCCCAATTCACAGTCAATGATTCCCTCCTCTGACCCAAGCACAACAGTAACCAAATTTGTACTGGTAGCCAAATTTGTACCGAATTATCCTACTTCCTTAGCCATACATGACTGGACCAGGGGAGGATACTTCACCGAAACAAAGCCATTCAGTTTCTGGAATTTGGAGTGGGGAATGGCCAGTTGGTCTCTGAGAGAGGTTGGATCTATAAATTAAACTCAAGAATTTGTAGATGGCCAGATTACTCCATGTGAACTGAAAATACCGAGGAAGTCTGTACACAGAGGTGGGTACATCAGAAAGCAGAGAGAAAAGTTTTCCAAGTCCCTGTTCTAGTCTCTTCATGAAGCCAGATCATATTCCTGCCCTCGGATTCTGCACATTTCATTTCCAGCTAAATTAGCTCAGGTTGGTTTCTGTTTCATGCAATAAAAGAATAGTAACTAATACAGTTTGTTTAAATGAAACATTATGTTGATATAGTTCCCTGACAATTTTTGAAATGAAGGGAATAGTTGATATTTTACTTCCTCAGTAATATTATCAGGCAAATTTAGAATGCATTATGTAAGAGGTACATAGGCTTTAATCTATGCTAATGAATCATAAACCATTATTCAACTGGCTTAGAGATTAAAAGAGGAAAATTTAAAGCAGAGCAAAATAGCTCTTCTAAATATTTAGTTTACTTAGCTGACCAAACCACCTAATTGTCATTATTGTTGATGGATCAATGAGCACAGTTAAGGTCATCTGCTACCTTGGGAAGTAAGAATAGTAGTTAAGAACTCACATTTGGAGCCTGTTTGGGTTCAAATCCCAGTTCCTATATTTACTGGCTGAGTAACCTTGGGTGAATCATTGAATTTCCCAGTTTCTTCATTTGTGAAATAGGTATTATAGTAGCTCTCTTACTGAGTCACAGAGCTTAGGTATTTCATGTAATAGTTTTCTGTAGCCATTGCTCTTATTTCCTTTTGAGCTAGGTTTAAAAAAAAAATCGACCAAGAAAGTTTTCTTTATAGGATTAAAGTCTTTTCAGCTGACTTACATATTTAGAAGGAAAAACCCAATGAGATCAATGGCTCTTAAAGTGGGATCCCTTGACCACATCACCTGAGAGCTTGTTAGAAATGTGAATTTGGGGGCCCTACTCCGACTTACTGAATCAGAAACTACTGCAAACTATCAGCGGGGCAATTGCATTGCATAGTTTCTCCACTGGGTGGCACCTGCGCACAACATATTGACTTTAAGCCTGCCATTTATTTCATTTTCTTCGTTTCATTGAACGAGTTCTGACAAAATAACCTTAAAACAAATCTTTTTAAAAGCAACTGTCCCTTAGAAAAAACAAATTGTCCCAAATATTACTTCTAGGTCATATCATATAAGATGGCTCAATAATTTATTGATTAGATAATCAAATATGTTCAATAAATATTTATATATAAGAAATACTTTCTTGGTTTCTAGTTGAAGTAACAGCTCTTCTCTATAATGAAAGTACCTGAACATTGCTGTTTTCATTTCAGGAAGAGAAGTTGGGAAATATCAGTAAAATTAATAGTAATAGCCCAACCCACCCATTAAAACAAAATTATATAGATAGATGAATAGATATCCACAAAGGAATTATGTAGAATGCTAATGAGTTTGTATCAAGTATTATTAGGTCCAGTCTAATTAGCATATTATGCTTTTATTATTATAGATAGAGCTGTTATCAAAAACAGTTTTAATATTGCCACAATTATTGTGAATTTTTTGTTCATTTACTTTATATTTCTAATATATCCTATATAATAAAGAGCTAATATGCAAATGGTTGTCATGCTCTCACGCCCTTGTGCCCTCGTGCCTCGTCTGGGGGACCTGAGGCTGTGATGGGGTGGGGCCAGCTGGGTCTGGGTCTCACGCAATTTCAAGGCGCACGCGGGTGGGCGGGGACTTGACTCTGGGTCCTGCAGCGTGCCCAGACTCTGACAGGAGAGAGATTTTCATTTACATTTTACTAATTTTCTTTCATCTCTGACACTTCTATTATAGAGAAAGGGCAAATAGCAATATTAAAATATTTCCTCTAATTAAGTCCCTTTTAATGTGCATGAATTTTGTGCACCAGGCCACTAGTTTTTATATATTCTACTAGAGGCCCAGTGCACAAAAATTCATGCACTTGTGGGGTCCCTCAGCCTGGCCTGCACCCTCTTGCAGTCTGGGAGCTTCAGGGGATGTCCGACTGACGGCTCCCTGCAGGGAGTGGGCCTAAGCTGCAGTCTGGCCTCCCTCTGTGGGTCATCAGGGGACGGCAGCCGGCCCCGTCCGCCCCATTGCCCCTCTGCCACCACTGGTCACTGCCGCCCCACCCCCATCACCGTCCCCTCCCTCTATCTGCTGGCACATGCTTTGGCTGGCCTGGCGCCGCCTGCTTGCCAGTCCCGCCCCCTGCCGACTGGTAGTTCCCCCATTCGGTTGATTTGCATATTATACTTTTATTATATAGGATTATAATTTTCTATAAACTCATAAAGCTTTAAAGTGTCCTATCACCTTTATTAATTTTACAATTTACAAATAGAAAGCTTTAACACTTACAAATATAAAAAAGTCTTGGTTCTACTAGATTATTTTTAATCTTGAAATCTGCTCAGTTTTGTTTGTTTTATTGCTTACTTTCATTATCAGATATTCTTTAAAAATTCTCTTAATTTCATCTTTTTTTAAAGTTTTATTTTATTGTTTAAAGTATTACATATGTCTCCTTTTTCCCCCATTGACCTCCCCCCAGCCACTCCCACCCCCTGACACATACCCTTAGTGTCCATGTCCATTGATTATGTTTATATGATCTCTTTCCCCTATCCCCCACTCCTCCCCTGCCTTCCCACTGAAGTTTGACAATCTGTTCAATGTTTCTTTGTCTCTGTATCTATTTTTGTTCATCAGTTTATAATATTCATTATATTCCACAAATGAATGAAGTCATGTGATATGCTGACTGGCTTATTTCGCTTAGCATAATGCTCTCCAGGTCCATCCATGCTGTTGCAAATGGTAAGAGTTCTTTATTTTTTACAGCAGTGTAGTATTCCATCTTTTTTGTCATTTTATATTAGATGCTTTACTTATAAAGTACAAGTAGCATTTTTTTCAATTATCAAAAAAATCACCAATTATAAGATAGACTATTGATTTAAGAACAGATTTGGGAGGATGGAGAAGAGAGGAAAATATTATTTTATTAAATATCTACATTGATTATAAGATACATCTTTTAAAAAACTTTATTGGGGTATAGTTGACATATTAAAAGCTATACATATTCAATTCAACTATGTATATGTAAATATGTACAGCTTTTTACATGTCAACCATACCTCAAAATAAAGTGTTTTCCCCCTTATGGAAAATAAATATAAACCAAAATCATCATCACCAAGGCCATGGACATCTCCATCACCTGTAAGATGAATTTTGATTTTAGAAGTGCAAAAAGAAAAGTCATCTTAGAATTAAGTAAATATGAAATATGAAGAGGTCTCCAATAACATGGAAGAATCAGAGAAGTTACATTTTAACAGACATTGCTAAAGAAGACTTCCCTCTCTGCCAATTAGGAAGACCAGGTGTTCATTTTTACCACATTGTTCTGATAATAAGTAGTTCTCCTAATTTTAAAAAATGTGCCTGGCCCATAGGTAAGTTTTAGTTCTCATTGTTATTTCGATAACCAGATTTCACTGAATACAAGAAGATGGTTTTTCTTTATCTTACCCAAAGGTGTCAGTGGAATTTTTCACACTTTCACATCATGAATACCACTGATTGAAAGAAATTGTAAGATGCCTTTGATTATAAGACATAACCATAATTTCAGAGGCATTAAAATATTCAAAATGTGCATCTTAGAATCAATAAAACAAGTTATTATGTTTACATTTAATTTAATTCTAAGTTAATGTATATGTGACATTCACCAAAACTGGCAAAATAATTTGAGTCAAATATTGAATAATATAACTTCTTACTTCCGTAAATTCCATTTTGTTCAGTCTTTGCTCCATTGAGTCAGCAATATCCAACTGTTTGCAAAATGTTTCTATTATGGAATAAAGGTTATTTGCTAGTTAGTGTGGTTACAATACATTCATATTTTTATTCATATCATAGTGCTTTAAAAGAAAAACATAAAAGTATTTCTTAATTAATGTTCATCAATATTTGCAATAAAGTAAAAGATATATAGTTGGGTAACATTCCAATTACTATAAAATTATTATTTTATTTAACCAAACAACCCCAAAACTGAAAAGAATGTGCCTACCCTTTTAATGACCAGGTTGAAATAAAGCAGAAACAAATATGCACACTGATAGTATAAAAGACTACACATACACATATCTTTTGTTTTCTGTATATAAATATGATCATATTGATCTGCAACTTGCTTTTTTCACTTAACCACTTATCTTGCAAATCTTTTCAAATAGAATCTGGAACTCAGGGGGAAGGTTTGGGATGGAAACATGGATGAGAGTCATTAACAGAAGTCATGGGTTTGAATAAGAAAAGTGTGTATAATGTGTAAAGTGATAATAGAGCCAAAAAAGAAACTCTGGAAAACAACATTTAAAGCAAAGAAAAGAAGAACCAGAAACATCTGCTAAAGGGTGATCACAGATAGATGTAAAAATCAAGAGAGAATAATATCACAAAAGCAAAGAAAAAAATTTTCATGAATAACAGAGTGCTAAATAATGGTGAATGTAGCAGTTAGTTTGAATAAAGATTTTTTTAAACTTCCATTTAATGTGACAATTATGTGATCTTTATTGATCTTACCAAGACACAAAAGTGAAAATTGTGTGAAAGCTTAAGGTGAAAAAATTAATACACTGGCTTCCTCTCCTACTTCTAACAGTAGTTCCTCCTGCCAATCATGGGCTGATGCATAAAAATATTCTTTAGTCACTATTGATTGTTTAACTGCTTATTATAAGACTAGAGGCCCAGTGCATGACATTCATGCATGAGTAGGGTCCCTAGCAGCTGCCAGCTGCCAGCCGGGGCCTTCCTTCCCCAGCTGCCAGCTGCCTGACAGGGCCTTCTTTCATTCCACACCACTCCCTGGTGGTCAGCACATGTCATAGCGAGCAATCAAACTCCCGGTTGGTCAAACTCCCAAGGGGACACTTTGCATATTAGGCTTTTATATATATACTAGAGGCCCGGTGCACAAAAGGACGGTATATGCTTTAGTAAAGCTTATGCATTATATGCTGCTATCTCCATCCCAGATCTTCCCACAAGCTCTGGAATATTACACAAGCCAAACAGGTTTCTACTAGTAACAGTTGTTATTAAGTATATGTGTCAGTCCCCTGGCTGGACTTTGAGCAATTTAAGGGCAGTGGGAACATATCTTAGTCCTCTTGGTATTCTCTACCCCATCATAGTATCTGGAACTAAGTGAGGACTCAGTAAATATTTAATGAATAAATGGCACAGAAAATTAATACTATGTAGTATAGGAGGTGAGAGAAGAAACCATCAATGCCAACTAGAGTGTTCTAAATTTCTCTAATTTTATCACAATCTCAAATACAGCTCTCTTAACTCGTTCCTTTTGTGCCCCTTCAAAAACCAACTAAATAAAACAAGTCATTTAAATTTTTTTGAAAGGGGACTTGAGGTTGTGCTGACTGAATAATTATAGTTTTTGGATAGGATGAAAAGGTAGAAAGAGAAAAGGCTGTCAACAACGTCCAAATCATGTTTGGGGAACAGTGATTGGGAGGTTGGAAAGCATATATTGTTTTTAAAAGTATGAACAGATGTCAGACAATCTATTGTTATCAATGTAGTAAAGTGGTCAAAAATCAATCAATTGGCTATAAATTATGTAAATTTCAGGACACAAACTCATATAAGGATACCTTTCTGAAAGCAAAAGCATCAAAATTCATAGGTGTAGCCCTAGCTGGTTTGGCTCAGTGGATAGAGTGTCAGCCTGCAGACTGAAGGGTCCTGGGTTCGATTCTGATAAGGGCACATGTCTGGGTTGTGGGCTTGACCCCCAGTAGGGGGTGTGCAGGAGGCAGCCAATCATTTATTCTCTCTCATCATTGATGTTTCTCTCTCCCTCTCCCTTCCTTTCTGAAATCAATAAAAAAAGATTTTTAAAAATTCCATAGGTATAGTACTGTCTCCCTCCTCCCCAGTGAGCATGGAGGAAATGTGTAGGTGAGTTTTTGTTGATACAATGATGAGGAGTAGTAGGGGCAGAACTCCTGCAATTCCTGCAAAGAAAAGACTCTCTCCCTCCTGCTAGAAATGCAAGTAGGTGAAAATTCTGCTTAGAATTATTTGAAGTCTAGAACCTAACTCCATTTTACTGCATATAAACACAGAACATATATTTGCTGTTGAATTTTTAAAGAATGTAACTACTGTGAAAATTTGAGAGGATTACTAGTATACTCTGCTTCATTCTGGAATTTTGCCAAGAGCTATTCACTATTCAGAAAATTATGTAATGGGAGGTAATATCATACATTGTATCTGAATTCCAATATAACACACCTGTCAGTCTGCATTTTATAGCTCTCCCATTCTACTACCCGTGGAATGTATACAAGTACATTCATTTTGCCCCTATTTCAAATACAAAGAAATGGTTGATTGGATATAATTTTTACTTTTCTTATATTTATTTATTTTTAATATATATTTTTATTGATTTCAGAGAGGAAGGGAAAGAGAGAGAGAGAGAGAGATAGAAACATCAATTATGAGAGAGAATCATTGGCTGCCTTCTGCACGCCCAGTTGAGCCCACAACCCGGGCATGTGCCTGACTGGGAACCAACCCGTGACCTCCTGGTTCATAGGTCGATGCTCACCACTGACCAATGCTGGCCGGGCTACTTTTCTTACATGTAAACATTAATTTTAAGGAGGTACAAATGTTACTACTCTGTTATACCTTATAATGAAGTTATAACCTAGCATTTACATATTGAAATACAGTGCATATAATTTTTATATCTTTTATTTCTTTGTATCACATTTATGACATTATATCTTTCTTTTAAAATTCTGTGTATGTAAGTAATGTTTTCTAGGAATTTGACAGGATAATTAAAGAGGTATTACAGAATATTTGTAATAAAATGGGGCACTGGACTAAAAGAATTGAAAATCACTGATTGCTTCTCTGCTTTTCTACATTCTCCATCTGGAAAGAGCAAAAAAGCCCTAGCCGGTTTGGCTCAGTGGATAGAGCACCAGCCTGCAACTGAAGGGTCGCAGGTTTGATTCCAGTCAAGGGCACATACCTCGGTTTCAGGCTCCTCCCTGGCCTGGGCCCTGGTTGGGGCTTGTGCAGGAGGCAACCAATCGATGTGTTTTCTCACATCGATATTTCTATCTTTCCCGCTCTCTTACACTATCTTTAAAAATCAATGGAAAAATATCCTCAGGTGAGGATTTAAAAAAAAAATGGAAAGAGCAGAAAAAACCTCAAATACTTCTGTAAGAGCTTTGAATAATATCCATCTCAATATTGACTCTTCATCTTAATTCACCATCCCTTCCCTTCGCCCCAAAAGAGGAAAAAACATAAATACTGTAGTAATAGGCATGCTTACCAAGCTTGAAATTTGGATTTTGAAAAAAATCATGAAGAGCATTCTGAATCTATAAATCAAAAAGATCATGTATTACTTCTCAATTACCATATACTTAGTATTTTAGACTAAAGCCATCTATAATTTTTCAGTTTAAACCCAGGGACAGGAATAGTAATAATTAACACTTAGTTTATAGATATGTAAAATGAGTTCACATATATGTACTCAATGATTCCCATCCTTTTTGTGTAAAAATTAGGATGCTGAGGACGACCCCATTTTGCCCCTTCCAGTGCCATTTCTATCAACCCTTAGATATGGGGGATGATGGAGCTAAGGCACCTTTGGCAAACAATTTGGCAATCCAAAGAATCCTCTAAAATTTCTCATTCTTCAATTACACACAAAAAATTTCAGACTTCTTCTTGGTCCATTTATTAAAATTAGACTTTATTATTTTTTCTTTTCTTTATTTATTTATATTTTTTAAATTAAATCTTTATTGTTCAGATTATTACAGTTGTTCCTCT